GCACTGCTATCCCTGCTGGAACTATCAAGATGTGAGCAACAGCGGCAGCTGCCAGCAGTAATGGTTGCTTAACACATCCCATCCTCTCCCTTGAGAGCCACCAAAGCCATCCCAGACAGGCCAGGGTGAGCAATGAGACCACAGCTCTTTTCTTGCCTTTTGGGGAGTCATCTGCAAGAGGCAGATCTCCTTCCCTAGCATCCGGCTCTGCATGGTAGGCCGGAAGTGTGGATGCTAGCAGCATGCCTCCCAGCAGGGCGCTCGTTGCCAGTAGCTTCAAAAACAAAGGTAATGGCTCATAGAGGTACAGATAATACTTAGTATTCACTTCAGATGGCAGGAGGCTTTTTCACTGTGCCCAAAATATACAAAATACTGTATGAAATATTAGTTATTCCAACCATTTCATATAAATAATGTGTTTTCTACTTCAAAGGCATTGTGCCCAATTCCCATAATGTTAGGGAGAACCAAAGGTGTGAAACTGAAGTCACTTCTATTTAGGTAGCTCACCTGAAGCTTCTGAAAAAATGTGGGCTTCAAATGTAGGTTAGTCATTCACATGTAGACATTTTAATCTACTAATACTGTAACGAAGATGTGGGGTTGAGATTCTTCTGCCTCTGTTTGCCCAAGTAAAAGTTGGGTGACCAGTGTAAGCTTTTTGTCTGGACTTCCTTCATAGTTTTGGATAAAGTAGTCATGCCAGGAGGGAGACTCATCCCATCCCAAAATTGGTATCCAGGATAAGTCAGAGGATTTACCTTCTGGAAGCATGTTTCAGTATCCTTGGACTGTAGCAAGTGTCTTGACAGTTAATTTACAAGAACATGTCACTTTTAAATGGCTGAAAAGAGGTGAGAGGAGGTCCACCTAAAGCATGTATATCTGCATGCTCATACCTTTACATACAAAGTTCAAATGACAAGGATAATATAATGAATCTAGATTTTCTATAAATGGACCATATTCTTTCTATTACCCAAAGTATGCCTATAACATTAAAATGTATACTGACCAACAATAAAATATGCCTAGCTGGTATGCATTGCTCAGTTCATGGCACCTGCAGCGACAAGCATGTCACATGCTATCAGCTTTCTTTGCCTGCTTCCCACTTTGACAATGACAGCGCTGCCTTCTGACATGTCTTTTTCACTGCTGACAGGCTTGCCACATACATCAAAGGCTTAAGCTTCTCTCTTATTTTTAAAAGCTTCTATTCTGCTTTGTTGTCTCATAGATGGAGTCCTGAAACAATCATTAAAATAAATGCTATCAATATTCAGTCTGTCACAAAAAGTAAATTACATATATGGGTCAATGTAAGCTATTCAGTTATACAAAATCAGTTCTTGAGACGCACATTTCTTCCCATGCGTTGGAAGTCCACAGAGTAGACGCGAGCGTAGAAGTTAGGATTGATCTAAATCAGACATACAGCCAACTTTAATTTAGAACTGAAGCTGTTTGTATTTTTAGCCTTCTCTTTTTGGTTTGCAAATGTATTGACAAGTGCCACAAGGCATTGGCAATTCAGAGAACCAAGAAAGAGAACATTTTAACTATTTTAAAATGTACTTTATTTTATGTCCATTCCTTTGGTTCCTTGCTCTTTCCTATGACATTTTATTAGCTTTACCAGAACAGTGTGAGTTTTCAATGATTTAACAAATAAGAATACAGTGAACAGAAGTATATTTAGATAACAAACACATATCTAACAAATATCATTTGAATGATTCCAATCCATTGTGTGAATAATCAAAGTAAAGTTAATATTTAAGAACATTTCTGCATTGGCCACTTCTTTCCTAATCTGTAAGATACAAAATTCAAAGTTCTGAGGTTTTAAATTCATTTAATCGGCATACATCAAATATTTTTGGATAAGAGTTATGTGCAAATTTAACAGAATTTTATACTTTAGGATTACTCTCACTGATGTACTCCAATGCAAGCATGTTACCATCAATAATTTATTTTTTTGTTTAATTTTCAGGAACAGCGAGGGTTCAGATCATTGGTATGAGAATCCAGGTATTAATAATGATTGTGTGATCGTGTTTTTTTAAAAAAAGAAGAAGATAGTTCCTGGCCACACATGCAGAGTTATGTTTCTTAAGAAAACCAAGAATGAAGTCATTTTGATCTCTGATGGATGAAAATTGTTGGAATGGAAACTAACATCTATGAAGAAGAACAGGGCTCACCTTATCTTACATCTGCCAAGTGCCTGGAGACTGCAAAGGAAGCAAAATATGAAGAATACCAAACACAGACAGAAGAAAAGGAAAGTCCATCTGCATTTCATAATGTTTTCCTGGAATCTGAGTTGAGTTTGTCATCTATGTCATCCTTATCAGACTGCAATGGGGCTTCCTTGGAAGCTGGCACGGTTGCCAGCTATGTTAGCGCCCCTGATCAGCCTGAGACAAAGCATCTTTGTGAAGAATTAGTGAGTTCTTCAGGGCACAAGCCCAAGGAAGATCTTTTAATTCTTCCCTCGCACACAGAACGTCCGCTCCTTCCACAGAAAAATGCAGACGGGAAACCAGAAAGACACCATGAGATCAGAGTCATAAAACACAAACCTAGTGCGATCACATTTTCTGATTTTGAATTTTTATCACATGAGGCTAACACTAAACTCCATATTTGTGAGGCAGCAGAAGCAGCAGATTTTTTGTCTGAAGAGGAAGAAGCAGATGGTAGAGATGATGATGATGTGTTTACAGAACTGCCAATGTATGAGGCATTTTTCAATGGTCTTCTTAAAAGAAATGTTTCCCAAAGAAAACAAGCTAAACATGAACCTACCAAATATCAACACATCTGTCATTTAGAAGACTGTGGTGATCATTCTGAAAAGGAATTGAAGGATCATGACAAGGAAGAAAAACACATGGAGCTGGAGGTAATACAAGCTACTCTTTTGTTCCAAGCATGTTTTAAGGGATTTAATAATTTAATTTAAATAATTTAATTACTTACTATCATTTAAGTTCGGTTAGCCGAGAAGGAATTTCACAAGTTGTTATATAGGGTTAGCTGATGTGAACACAACTAATCAACAAAATTGGTCATTTTTAAATAAAATGGTGATTACAGTACACATGGGGAATATAATTTCCTGTAGCTTTTCATAGGGTATATTCAAAGACTGTTTGCCTGTTCCTCACATATAACATTTCTATCTTTGGGTGTTCCATGAATGGATCCTTTTCTTCTGTTTTGTGGTTAATTTTTACTAATAAAGCAAAATGCATCAGAATCATTTATGCTAGTTTCTGCTGCATTGTTAACAGAAAAGCAGCTGTAAACAAGACTATTTTGATATTTTTAAGGTTGTTTGACAGAATCAGAGTGGAAAAAAGCAGTTGGAATGCACCAGCCAATCTGATTCAATAATCCTTTTTTAATTACTAAAAATGGGAAAATTAAATTCCTCTACTTCAGAAGTATGTTTGTTAATTACAATAAATATGCAAATAGAGCCATAGGATAATTTAGGTTGGAAGTAATCTTTGGAGATCATCTGGTCCAACCTCCTGTGCAAATCAGGACTAACCTTGAATTTAGAAAATATCTGAAAATACAAGTACAGCCTAGTGGATTTTCTACTATTCAAAGGATTTTGGCCATATTTTCTTCAAATTATATATCAAGAATATAAACTCACAGTAAAATGCACTGTACATTAAAAATACAATGATAGTCTTTTAAATGAGACCAGTCTATCTCTTCAGACTGGCCGTGTTTCCATTAGTCCGAACTTCAAACTTTGGGTTTCTGTTTTCTCTTTCTTTTTAAAATGCGAACGTCGGCTCAGTTTCCTCCGCTCCTACAAGGCTGTATATCACATCACGTAGAGAATGCATTCCTAGCCATTCCATTGACAATTCGAAAGGGATAGAGCTAAGGTGTACTGGGAGCGCAGAGTATATTTCTTCGTGCTTAATAATGGACTTTCTTAGTGTAGTGGCAGTGCAGCACTGCTCCTCCACACGCATAGCATTGCTTCTGTTAAACAAGTGTTTTCTGTTGTTTTACTTCATTAAAATAATATATAGGAAAGGTGACAATCTAGTCTACAATAAAATAAAATAAGTAAATTGTTTGTATTTATACTGATCTACATCTTGACGCTTTGTAGACAATGTCCAAAATGAAAATAAGAATGTTTGGGACAAAATCAAATCACTCTGTAATAAGAACCATCCAGCTATAATATAATCTTTGGTGAAAAAAAAGGTTGGAGTAAATTAGCTGTGTTTTTTTGGACCTGGAGGAAAAGGAGCTTTCCAAGTGAGTTCTCACTAGTCTGGAGAATAAGCTTTTCCCTATTCCCAGCTGGTGACAAACCAAATGCTTGGAGCTGAACATGTTTGTCTTTGGAGAAGTTCAGCTCTGGTACAAAAATACGAAGAGATTCCAAATAACGGGGAAAACAAACCCTTAAAA